ACAAATGGTAACATTTTTTGGCCTATAACTCATTCATCGAATAATTGGTTCGAATATTTATCATTAATTTCAAGAATATTATCAGTAGCAAGCGATCATTTATGATCGTAACAGGTTGGTCATTTTTTTTTTCGAAAGGTCATATTTGAAATAATTTCTCATGAAAACATCTTTAGAACTACATGATTGATTTATTGATTGATCGAAAGATCGATAAGTTAATTAGTTAACTTTAATTTTTTGATATGTTACAATATGGTCTGTCTTCGCAATGAAAATCTCTATACGCGATTATATTGTCAACACTGTTTGATATACTGAATGTCATCTTTTTTTTTTTTTATCCATCTCTGTTTGATGTGTTATCCGATTCGAATTAAAGTTCCATTCCGTACAATTAATCATCAATTTGATTTAAGCCAATTGCATCTGATAAATGAACTGAAATTAATAAGATTCGTAATCGAGGCTTTTTAACGTTTAATTCCTTTCACTTTTCTATTCTCACCATTATTTGAAAGAAAATGAGACAGAATAATGTGAGGAGATGGAATTTGAAGGACATCAAATTCATGTGACATACATCGTTAATTTGAAAGATATGCTAGCACTTGCATATAAATTGAGGTGAAAAATGGAAGGCAAAATGAATTTAATTGGGTAATATTTTCATTTTCAGTCCAGATTTCTGGAAGATAAAACTTCAATGATAGCAATTCCAATTTAATTATTTTTATAACCAGGAATAGAAAGGGAGAAATTTCCTTTTCGGTATTCATGTGAATATATATATTATTGAATCCCATATTCATAATAATATTTCAAATTCAATTAATCTAAATCAATATGTTTAAATGTTTAATTGGTTTTTCAAATTTTTACATTTGTTTTTTCTGTATTTTCAAAAATTTTAAAGTTTCATTTCATTTCTATACGTTAGCTTTTACATACAATTAAAAAGATCGCTAATTTTATTCATTTCTTATTTGCATCCAATTCATCCCGTTTAAACAAATTTCATCTCGTCATATACTTCATTTCGTACTTCTTCTAATTTCTAGAAACTTTTATCGATTTAACGACAAAAGTGTACCTTCCAATTAGTCCATCTTCACATTTGCGCATTTGGATCGTAATACTTAATATTTACTCTAATACTTAATATTTATGGATAAATATATGGGGGACATATCAAATGTAAGATATAACTTGGTTTCCTAACATAGCGGAGTGAGTTGAAATTTTTACCAAAAAAAACAAAATTGTTATTTAATTTAGTAATATTTTGATAGCAGCATTGTTGTGGATAAGTTGAGTTCCATCCAACGGATCGAATTTAACTTGTCCAAAATATGCTAATTTGCAAAACTCTCTCTATAAAATCCCTGAATAGTATCGAAATAATTAGTCTGGAAGAAAGATTAATATGGCTAATTTGTTGAAATTCGTCTAATTAATCGGAATCTCTCTCATTATACCAATGTTTTCCGGTTTTGTTCACGGTAATTGTTACCAGTAATGTCATATCAGGATAAAACATTTGGAATGATATAATAATAGAAAAATTATAGGATATTCTAATTAGACGAATCATTACAAGACTGTAAGACATCTGGAGTAATCTTAAAATTGATAAGATTATAATCTTATCTTATATAGATTATAAGATAATAATCTGAAGTGATCAATCGATAAAATTAAACTATAATTTGGAGTGATTGATAATGCTTATACTGATCCATTTCTTTTTCCTTTTTTGTTGATTAATAGCTGTAAGTTTGTGAAATTTGCTGTCTGAATTTAGCAATAAACAAGAAAAGAAAGCTAAAAAAGTTTTTTTTCTTTAAATTTCATTAATTTCGATTTTTTTTCTGCAATAACATGCATTCAATCATTTCATTCTCGAACAAAAATGATGATTTTGTTTTTGTTTTTTGTTTTTTTTTCCTTTCTGTCTTTTCTCTTCCCCTTCGATATGTTACTTTCATCCATTTGATATTTATACAAAATGAATATTGAATAAATGAAATGTATAAATTCTTTATGAATTGAAGATGACACGAAATGGTGTAAATGAAGAATGGAAATTTTGTGAATCAAACAATTTGGCAATTTATAAATTTGATGAGTTCTTTCTTCTTTGTTTTCGCTTTCTTCTTTTTTTCTTCATTTGGTACTAATTAATGAGTGTAATTAATTTGTGAATTTGTTTGGCTTGACGTATGAATGCAAAAGTTTTGTGATTTTTTTTTAAATTTTCAGATTTGGAAATGTTTTATAAATTTGGCAGAAAACAAATTTTTTTTTTCTAACTTTCAGCGATTAGTTCTTCTTGGCTATGAGAAATTCTCATTCGACGTATGTAATCAAATTTTATTATTTATAGAAATGTAAAAAGAAAAAAAAATTCGATAATTTAAATAATTTGTATGTTATGTTGCATTTGGGAATTTTGTGACAGATTTTTGTAATTTTTTTTTTTCTTTAAAATGGTTTCTATTTTGCGAATAGTTTCCATAAATTGTGAAAGTGTAATGATTTGTTAGTATATTTCCCAAACTTAATTTAAATATCATATATAAATTCCATTTGAAGAAGCGAAGATATACCAAATTTATAAGTATACTAACTTCACTTTACTGTTCATAGATAAAAATTGTCTGATAAGAAATGAATTAAATCAAAAAAATATTGCATTAATTTTTAAAAAAAATCTCAAAAAAAAATTTACCAATTAAAATGCAATTTAATAAGATGATTTGATTGGACATCCTTAAAGTTATTCTTTTTGAAAATATTCATTCCAAATTTTCACGAACTTTGTTTCCGGAAAAATCGAAAATATTTCTTCCGAAGAGTTAAACAGACAATTTGTGCTGTTATAGTGAATATTCCGGATTCATTGAATAGCTTATTGTAAGTTCCACATTTATTATAACTGACATTCATTTTAGTGGGAAATTTTCATTGTTAGCATTTCATGTTATTACGTATTCTTTCAAAAAATTTCTTCCTCCTCTTATGATTTTCTACATTACTTATTCTAATCCCGTACTTTTTAATTATATTTCCAATTGTGATTATTGGATCAACCGATTATTTGGTCCCTTTCTTAGCAATGATGGTATCCATATTGGATGTTGTTATGTCTTTCTTTAGAGTGTGTGTGTGTGTATGTTGCAGTTTGCAAGTTACATGCTATGCATGCTGCATGTTACGTTATGTTATTAATTGCAGTCGTAAAAATTTTATTGATGTAAAATACAAAACACCTTATGATAATATTAAGAATGTGGAATAATCTATTAGTACTATTTTTTCTTCCTCTTTCTCTACATCTTACTCCCTCCCCCTCTCTCTCTCTCTCTTATTTCGTCTTTTTTTTCTCCTTTCTCTATCGTTTCTTTATAAGAGAATAATCGAAAATAGTTCACATTTTGAAGATAAACAAAGAGAGGAGGTAGTATCATAGCAAGGGAGGGAGAGAGGAATAAGGAAGAGAAGAAATAGTATCGCTTTCTTTGAGAAGTAATCTTTCCTGACGGGAAAAGTAAGGGCGAGAAGGATGAGGAAGAGAGAAGAGGTAGTAGCATTATAGTATTATGTTAGTAGTGAAGGAAGCCTTGTAGTACCATGACATCAATTTCAGGCTCTTTTTTAAAATATGTGAAACTAAACTTGGGAAGTAGAACTTTCCATGCTAAATTGTATTATTTGGTGACAGTTTATCTCAAATGTTTACCTGTCGTTGTCGTTTTTATTGTTTTTATTGTTGTCCTTATTTGCATAAAAAAGAAAGAAAAAAAAGTTCAAAACGAACAAACGGAACTGATAATTAGATTTAAAGTATTATTAAATTTAATAAATATAATTCGTTTCAGCTACGATTCGAATTGTTTAGCAGTAATTATCTGTAAATATTCATTCATTGAAGTGCTTATATTAATTCGGCTTATCGATTTATCGACAAAGTCAAAAATCAAAAAAAAACACCGATCGATAAATGTGCGTGTCTGTCTGTCTGTCTGTTTGTGTCTATTCACACAGTTGACAACCGTATGTCATCAGCGCTTATAGCTTCTGTGGTAATTTTTAAAATTTGTTTTCATTAAAGAAGTGAAGATTTTTTACGGAAATACAGCATGAATCCATAACTTTTTGTATTTCTTTTATTGCTGCATTCTTCTCATTCCTTTCCTTATAATCAAAATTACTTCGTGAGGGTTTCACTCCCATTCCATTTTTTCCGATGACCTTATCAGTGCTTCGGTTTGGTTTCCATTCTTTTCCTAAAGATCTTATCACTTCAGTAGTTCTCATTTCCATCTTTTTTTTTCTAGAAGAAAAAGTTTTTCTTGTTCGAGGCATTTCCCTTAGAAAAGCTCTTCCGCATTTCTCGGCATATGTAGGAAATGTTTGCTTAATTATACATGAATTTTTCATGGCTTATTTTGACTGATTATTATAATAAAAATCCCGTTTGTACTACCGAATCCTACGGATTGGATCTTGAGCGGAAACAACCTTTATACCCGAAATTAATTTGATATAGAAAGTTGATTTGGACATTTGTCGAATTTTTCCGAATCTCATATGTTTCTTTTTGTTTTCTTGAAAATTTAACAGTGTCAGATCACGAGATACATATGAATTCGTCGCTAATCAGCAGGAAAGGAAGTCAGTCGTGAAAGTATTTACAAAAATTTTAATTCACACAGTTTTTTGTGAAATTTCCATATGCTCAGTATTATTTCCATTCCGTTTATTAAAGGCTGGAAAGTCGTCATCAGTATTAATCTACTAGAGATGGTTTTCTAGATATGGACTTGAGTGATTTGTAGCCCTCTCATCTGTTACCGTTTTTGTAATAGACTAAATATTCATAAATTTATTTTACATGTAGAACCCTTCCTTCTTTTCCTTATTCCAGAATATTTATGTCATTTACAGATGTGAAGATATTCCTGAATTTTACCTTGTTTCTATTTCTGGTGCCTTCGATGCCTTCATCACCCGCCTTTTATCGAAATTTGTGGCGTTTAACGGAACGGAAAAAGAACCGGAAGAACGAAAGCTTGACGAATAGTCAATCGAATAGTGATGAAGCTGTTAGCGATTATAGCAATATGCCACAGCAGCAACAGCAACTACAGCGATCAGCAGAAGTGTCATATGAAGCTCAGGATGTGTCACCACCACCCAAAGGGTTAGTTTGTTTTCTTTGTTTTTGTTTATACTGATACTAAGTTCTCATCTTTTTTGAGAAAAATGTTTCAAGTTTTAGGTGATAATAGGAGAACTGAAAGAAGAAATCCGTAAAATAACTATAGTAAAAGATGGAAGAAAAAAAAGAATAATTGAGACACACTGATGTGACATGTATACCTTTTCCAAAAGCAGTATCCGCTGTAAAAGCGTTTAAGAATAGAAAGTGTGAACATCCCATTCCACCTTTTTCTCGTGTTTTTTCTTTGCTTGTTTTTTTGTAGAAAAGCTGCATAAAAACTTAGAGATTACAGTTGTGCTGTCTAAGCTCTACGAATTCATTTCATTGCTTCTTTTTGCAGTCCGTTAATTAGAGCACGAAAATGCTACTGTTTTAATTGCAGCGTTACATTTTACAAGTCGAAGTTCATGTTTGTTTTAATTGTCTCATTAGTCTCACAAAATCCACTGTTTCGGTATATATATATATACATATACATATACAAAAATAGATTCGGAAGCGAGCGAAGATTGTTGTAGTAGTAAAAAGGTTTGGTTAAGATGATGAGAGGACGCGTATGACTTTCCATTTCGATGATCCCTTTGCTGCTGGCTTGATTCTATGTACATATGTATCATACCGTTATACGAAATACCGTTGGTTTGACTGATACATATGTCGAATAGGTGGAATGTATTTCGACATTCTTTTTTTTTGAACGGTATTTCTTTTGTCTCATGAGTACAGGGATATTTTGCTTGGATAGAGAGAAATTTAAGCTAGTTTCATTAACATTTATATCTATTTAGATCCTTTACTAAGTGCATTACCTGTTAACTTTTCAGTTTTCAGTTGTGCTCTCCTTTTTTTTCTCCATCTTTCAATTTTCGAAAATATATTTTTGCCTTTTATTCATTTTTTCATTAGTTTAATATATAATTAAACTCGGTCTTCATTTTTTGACCCATTTTCTTTACAAAAGAATTTCTGAACTAAAAAATCTGAAATAACGATAAACGGTTTTTCCATTATTTAGTATTTTTGATTTTTTAGAAAATTGATCGCCTTGATGTATCCGGAAATAGCTTCTTTAAATGACTATTTCTGTCTTTGCGAACTACTAATTTTGACTTTAACTTGCTTTTGAGGAAATTCTACATGCGTATCATTTTTAGGAGCAGTGTAAAAGTGTAATGTAAAAGCATTCATAAAGTTAGGTTAAGAAATGATAAGTATGTTTCAATTCTTTAATTTATGTTATGAACCCAAAAATGCAGCGAAATAATTGTCACGATAAGTTTAATAGCTCTAGGATAAGAAAAAAATCGATTAGGTTAGATCTATATAATGCATTAAATTTGTGTTTGCATGCGAAATTCTGTGCGTAACAATGGGAATAGTACTGGGAACTTAATATGTTCAATAAATTTAATGTAAAAATTATGTAAAAAAATTAAATTAAATTAAATTAATAAATTTAATGTAAAAATTATGTAAAAATTATGAGGGTGTGATCGATGTAAAAAAAGTGAAAATAATTCACAAAAATGACAGTACGTAACAGTAATAATGATAGTACATAATTGTACATTAGTAATTATTAGAAATTTAAATATAACAGTTTGGAAATTAAAGAGTAGTTATTTGTTTGAAGCTGTTAAATGGGTTGCTTGATGATAGATGCTTTTTTGTCTTTTTAGCTTCAGGACAAATAACATGAGTGATATCAAATATGAATGCTCAAATACGAATGCATATTACTTGAATTCCAATTAATTTGATTCGAAATTTAGTTTCTTTGAGCAAACTAATAATCATCTTTTATATCTCACCTTGATTACTGGAGCCAGTGATATAGGCATGGATTCAAATTCTCTAAGATATCACTCCCTGATAAGAAGTTCACTAAGTTCATCGAGTTGATAAGAAGTTCATTAAGCATATTTCGTTTATTGCAGTTCGCAAGAATTTCGTCATCTTTTAGTTATGAAAAATCTGAAAATATGGCAAAGCATATAATGCATGTTTTATTTATTTTGTCCTACTGAGAGGTGGGCCATTTAGACATTCAGTTCCAGTTCACTTAAACAGTTCGACTATTTGTTATTTGACTCCTTAGACTACAGATTTCACTTGTTATTTCGAACTATTACCTTAGTTATTTCCTTCGAAGTACTGTCTTTTTGATTGCAGTCCGCAATATTTGGATACTTCTTCCTAATTTTGGTTGAATTCAACGGATAACCTTAACTACTTCTGTGGGACCATTAATTTCGTGTAGTATCAAAATATACTTAGTTGTGCGTTATCCATGAAAACGTAATTACCTTACCGGGTGTTTCTTCAGGATAATTTACGCCTTGCGATCGTTTCAAATTTGGGACTCGAGCATAAAGGAAGTGAGACTTTTAAGGAAAATTTTGACGTGGTTTTGCTGGTATATGATCGATATGATGTATAATCGATTTTGCATCACCGAAAAAGGCATAGAAATAGGAGTAGTATATAATGTTACATTTCTCCAACGTCATTTCCAGTAATCGACATTTTGATTTGAATAAAGGAAGAAATTAAAGGCTTATAAGGTTATTAACGAAACATTTTACTGGGGAAAAAGAATACTTTGTAGTGTTTTTATATCAACTTATACTGATAAATTTGGAAATTTGCTTGATTGTTTAGTGTTTAGTTGTATCACATTGACTTTTGCATATTATATATATATATACAAATATGTATGTATATAGATATAGGTATATATATGTGAAGTATCGCTTGCATGTTTTGAAAGACAAGGCTGATTGTTCTTTGTAGTGTTGAAATGGGAAGGAGGATGGACGAGCGCAGACAATGGGCCTGCTGGGCTAAAGATTAATGGGAATTCAGCCAGTCTGTTGTTATTTATATTTTATTCCACAATTGCGATTTTGGGCTTTTTCAAAATTTCTCTTGCTTTGAACAGTTATCGTAGATTAAACCAAAAATTTCACCTAACCGGAAAATTGGGGTTAGAGCTGGCAAACCAGGAATTAGATGGGACGTGATACTTAATCTCCCAGTTCTGTTTTCTAATGCACCACAGTAAGTGTTTTCACGAATACTTCATCTGGGACTTTTTTCCGTTGGTTTCGGGAAATTTCATTCGTAGTTGAAGTTTTACATGTACCACATATAATTCATTGAACTTTTTTTGTCTTTCATTTCAAATTTCTTGTCAAGTAAATGAGAAAATATCTTATGCTCGAGCAAATTCAAATCCTTTTTTTCTTCTAATATTTTTTTTTTTAGTTTGAGGGTCTTGAAGAGCTTGGTTCAGTGCTTTTAATCAAAATGTATAATATAATGAGGCCTTTAATCTTGGGATGATTCATTTGTAAATGTTGATATTTAACATCATGCTAACAAATACTTATCCCAATAATGAATTATTCTAAAGAATTTGATATATTCAATGTGGCGGAAGTTTTTTTAAAAATTTAATATAGTGGTACTAATAGATATTTATCCCGTTTTTAGAATTTTTTTTTTGTTTTAAAGTAGAAGTAATGAGCAATAACAACCATTTACTCGATATTAGTATCCAGTTATCAAATAATGGTATTAATAAGTAATTAGCTTTTACATTTGTATAACAAGCGAAAAAATTCCTCAAATAAGGATTAAACTGAATTTAAAAGGTGAGGACGAAAAAAAAGGGTGGATACGACTAGTTTTGGAGCATTTCTTTCTCCACTGTTTGGTAGGTGTAGTTTGTTGCAAAGAAAGTGATGTATCACAAGTGCTGTATACCGTCTTGGTTGAACATGTTAATATCATTAAACCTGGTATATTTGTTATTTCCAGTTTAAATTCGTGGTATTCATCGTTCTAATGATTTTCTCCATCACATATTGGCTTATGTTGTTAGCAGTTCTAAATTTTTTTTTGTTGGTATATTCAAAAATTTAAACAGTTTGAAAGAAACATTGCTCCTTTCGGTTGATTACATTTCCCAACTACATTATGTATCAGCTTATATCAGTAGCGTCTGTAGGAGGAGCAGTTTTTCTTTAAAGTTAGAAATTTGGGTATTTAAGAGAAATATTACTTCTTCTAGTTGAATATATTTCCAGCATTCGTCCTTAGTAAAGTAAGCTTTTCGATAGTAAATAACTTTGTTGTGTCACAACTTGTAGCTTTAGTGGCTCATAAATATTTAGTTATGTGACAAGACGTAAACAACTTACAAGCATTGGAACCAAAACGTTACTAGCAAATTTCATTGAAACAAATAGTCTATAGCAATCGGATATAAAGCAATAAAGCGGTAAGTACGAGCGAATAAATGGCGAAATCGGGAAGGTAAAGTATCATTCATGAAGGCTTCTAAGTGAAGAAAAAAAGAATATTGCAGATTTCATACTCCTCCTCTTATGTTTCTAATTTGAAGAATGCGGCCAGTAATGAGAGCTTGATCTGCAGAATTGTCCCTCCTGCTTCAGCCTTCCATCTTAGTGCGACAAACTGATTTCATAATCTCATGGAAGAGTGTTTTATACAGAGCCACCTATACTTATGTAGGCAGTAGCATCGCTACTCCATGACAACTTTCTCGAAAGAAGTTAGTTTTCTTTGATATCGGCATATTTGCAGTTCAAGATAACTTAATCCCACTTCACTCAGGTAATCCTCTTTTCTTTTTTCATTTACCATAAATTTGGTTCTAATCATTGCTTATTCCACTATAAACTAGTATTGATATCATATACTCATTTTGTCCTCTAAGAAAGAAGGAAGATTTTCTTTTCACAGATGTTTGCTAATAGCTTTTGAATTTTCTTCCTTTTTCTACTCTACCATTTATTTTGTTGACTTTTCGGAATTGTTTGCTTGCTTTTATTTTCGCTGTCCTTTCTCAAATATTTGGCTTAAAAGTGCAAAGTGTTTTTCGGTAGTAAATTTCATTTCTCGAAAGTTCGAAAAACTTATTTTTACATCTATAGCAGGGTTGGAAATTTTCGTTATGCTATGTTTAAGGTAGGATTTAGGTTTTGCTTCAGATTCTCTTTTTGTCTTTTCCTGGGTCTTTCCAGTCTTTTTGCAAAATTCCTTTCTACTTATAAATTTCTGTGGAAATGTTTTAAAAAAGTGAAAATGAAATAAATTCAGCATTTAAACCTAATTATCAAATCCAGAAATTAGAGCTATCAGGATGAGAAGGGATGATATGCAGATCTATAGATGCTTAAATGGGATCTTCCATTGCCTGTAAACTTTAAATGATGCTGCTGCTGATGGTAGTTCCGACTGAATTATGTAAAATTATCTGCAGTACTTTCGAATGAATGAATGGAATCTGTTAATGCATTTTTCTCCAATTGATATCACCGTTCCCATTTTTAGTAACTATGATATTTTGACGAAGTTAAGTTGCCTTAAGTTTTAGGTATAGTGGTAACTGTAGTACGTTCGATAATTTCGATTGAATCAAATAAAACTGTGGGATTGTGGAATTTTTTTTCTCCTTGATACTTCTTTGACCCAGTTAAGTGAAATTTATTACCCATCATCATTTTTTCCTTTGCTAAAACTACCAAACCTGATATTATGTTCAGACTAGGTTTCAATTTAAATTCGGACAAGATAAATATGTTGCATGACAAATTTAATGACGGGATATATATTATGTTCATTAATTGGTAATGAAGGAATGTCTTTGAGAATATCTTCTCACATTGAAATGTCGAGTATTGTTATATTGCACTAATGTTCTTCCTTAAGCAAAAGAAAAGTTTTTTTTTAATTACTTTTTCAGCTCGTAAGTATGGCGTTTTAGCTGTTTTAAGATTTCTATATGAGTAATTGCTTAAATAGTTGAATAATTTTAGGGACGTGATGCATCGTGGAATGGATCGGATACGACGTTCATTCCGAGAATCATTTCGTCGTCGGGTGTCCAGGAAACATTCCACTCGTAGAGCTCCATTCGGACGACAACTCTCACCGAGTAGACCAACAAATAACTCAGGTTCTAATAAAGCGGAATTATGGCAGCCGGATGAAATTGCCGTTCGGAATGGCACCTGCAATTTCAACGTTAAGGTTAGGGCCTTTGAAGTGTTCAATTCAATTAAAGAACATCGCATTTTTTAAGAGGCTCAGAGTTTATTTTATTATTTTTTGAGCCTTCGAGTATTCTTGACTTTTTTCAGTTCTTTATTGCACATTTCTAATTTTCAAGCTTATTTTAATTTTCCATTGTGACTGTTTGTACGTAAATCTGTAAAATTATTCAAGTATCTTGGCGGTATCGAAGTGTTTGAATCGCGTGGTATGCAAATTTGTGAGGGAGCTTTGAAATTATTGAGGGTATGTTTTTAGTTTACTTAAGTGATAGCTGTAGGTTTTAGTTATTTGAATATACTGATTACCTATTCTGTCAAAATTATATCGGATATTTCTATAAGAGACAATGAAATTCGGTGTAGATTATATCTTTTATCTATTGTATCTGTTTAGATTATATTCATTTATATCTCTGGTGTAATTACCACCCGTTAATGTAAATGGTTGCGAAAAATTTTCCTACCCTAGTCAGCCGAGATAGATTGATATATCTCAAAGAAATGTAAGTTACATCCGTTCGGTACAGCGGGACCGATACAATATCTCGAACTACGTGATAGTTTAAGATGTCGCCTTTTTTCAGTTGTAATCTCCATCTTTTGTATCCGTAATTGAAACATTGCGTTGTACTTTTTTTAAAGATTGGAGTGAAGTTATCATCGATTCAAAGATGTTCAGGAAAAATTTTTCTTCAGGGACAGCGACGGCGACCAATTAAAGCAGTCCTGTATGTTTCCGGTGATGGTTTGCGCGTTGTAGATCAGGAAAGTAGTCGTGGCTTGATAGTTGACCAAACCATCGAGAAGGTTTTTCTTGCTCTTTTTTTACCTTGAATAATTTATCATAATATCATCCTTATCTACCCTTCGTTCTTATTTAGCACGTAATATCCTTATCTACCTTTCGTTCTCCTATTTGGCATAATGGCCTATCTTCATCCAATCCTTACTTTTCTAGATTTATCCTTTCATCTTCCGATCTTTGCAAATCCTGATTTATTTCCATTCCATTTCTCTGCATTTTCCCATTGACTGTTTGGTCCTATTCCAATACCTTATTTTCATTCTTCGCTGTTAACTGCGTTTTTTTCCGTTCATTCTCATTACTTGAAACGATACTAATGAATTGCATTTATTCATTTTCCTCAGTTAAAAAGAAAGTGCTGTACTTTTAAAGCTAATTTTGCATTTCGGGTATCGTTTTGTGCACCTGACCGAAGTCATGACAAGGGTTTTGCTTATATTTGTCGAGATGGAACATCAAGACGATGGATGTGCCATGGCTTTCATGCAATAAAGGAATCCGTAAGTTTAACTGTCAATAATCATTTAGAAGGGAGTACATTGCTTATTCGATATCCGTATTTTATTAAATTTAAATCTCGAAGTTTTAATTGAAAAATTTCGTTTTCTTTAAGGGTGAACGATTAAGTCATGCTGTGGGTTGTGCGTTTGCAATTTGCTTGGAAAGGAAGAAAAAGCGCGATGCGGAAGCTGCTGCTGCGGTGCAAGCAGCTGCGGGTTTGCCACCTCTTGGTTGCGAGAAACCGAGTGTCACTGGTTTTACTTTAGATGAAATTACTCAACAAATACCACCCATTTCAACTAGGTCTATTTTTTTAAAGAGGAATTTAGATAAAGGTCTTTGCCTTCTTTTCATTCTTGGTAATATCAAGGTGGTACATTTGGTTGTTCAATCTTTGATGGAGTGGGAATTATCAAGGCAGTAATTTTACCCTCATCCTTGGGTGGAGTCCTAAATGGATTATAGGACTTTTATAAAGCTAAATTTTGAAATTTCAAAATTTGAAATCTTCCGTAAACTGCTCATGTATTTACACAAATCGTATTATGGTAGTAACAACGATTAAATCTATGAAAGAAAAGTACGTCTATTAAGGACCTCGAGTAGATTTAAATAAATATTGTTCACTAAGGTTAGATTGTCCGAATCACCGACGGCCGAACCACTGAAAGATTCGAATGCTAATGAATGTCGAAAGTAGGACTTAGCTGGCAAATAATTATGTCTTTCACTAGTGAACATTTGCACCAAGCAAGTGTTTGGTATTGGTAAGACTGGAATCAACAGCTTAATTTTATACGTTAATCTTCAGCTCATTCGAACGAAATAACTATAATGGCTCTTTTCGTCGACTATCAATAACAGAACGATTACGCGATCCACAAACTGCAATCGTACAACCACCTCCCGCAACTTCAAATCTGCCGATGGCATTACACATTACGTCGAAACCGCGACCTATCGGAAATCCACTACTTCTTGTAAGACAGGTTAATTCATATGTTTGGTTCGCAGTTTCCATTCACTTTTTCGTTTCATATTTTCTTTTTTCCTCATTCAATATAATTCATTCTTCTGAAAAAAAAACTTTGAGTTTTCATTTCATTGAGCATTTATTTTGGTTAGTTTTAAATTTACACTACGTACAGTTGCGTTTTGGCTTTCACCATGTCCACATTCATACCCGTAATGCTTAAAATAATTATGCCTAACTCATAGAATATCCAGAATATTCGTACTGCTTTTTTAAGGGATCGTTGCGTGCATCATCTGCTTCATCATCTGACACCAACACCGTCCCTTTTCACCGACAATTTTCACTTCGATCATATCCGGATTCTACGATAAAAAGGGTTTGTAAAATATTTTCGAATTATTTTTTTTACCAGGAAAAAGGATATATGCAATTTTCTTTCGTTACTTTTGATCGAATTTAAATTATGTAAAATATTGATTACTTTCAGCAGCAACAAGTGTCTGCAGCAGTTATAGGAAAGAGTGAGCCAATTTTTGAAGATGACGAAGATAAAAGTTGGTTTAATGATGGTGCGTTAAATGAAGGAAGCACCTTCAAAAATGCTCCATATTGTCCAGTGAAATATAATGGATTTAGGTGAAAACATTTACTACTTCATTTTTGGTGAAGTTAATGTTGTCATTGTGTTTTAAGTGAAGTTGGAATAATGCTTACTGATTTATCGATTTTTTGCTTGTTTTTCTTTTTGTATTTTCCTTTAGTCATTTCCAGACAGTCATTGTCGTATACAGCTGCTCCATACACTAGTTCCAGTGATTTTAGTGGTACTCAAGCATACAGTTTAGTGAATTCTCCACTACAAGTTCAAACCAATTATCCATCAAACGTTAGCGGACCGGAATCCTGGTAATTTCGTTACATTTCTTTAATAGAGCTACGAAATAGCCTAGCTGCGGGATCATCCTGACTCGTGGTTCCAACCGTAGGCTATTAAGAGTATCGAAATCATGGTACTAAATATTGAGTGGTCGCTTTAGGCAGACTAAGAGTATTTAAAATTAAAGTATGTTTCGTACTCATTTATTTGTTAACTTTGATTTGATTACAAGATTTTCATGAATCTTAATGAAAATTATGGTGAAAAAAAATAGTCGATAAATAATAGAACATCAGGACAGTGTTAAGTTTTCTTTATTTCTACAACTTGGCTTAAATTATTAAACATATAGGCAACAACCAAATATTGTTCCAGGTTAAGTAGTCCTCTTTCAACATGCCCATCAACGGTAAAATCAAAAGCTGATGAATGGCTGGAACAAATACTACGCTCATCATTATCACTAAATTCACCATCCAGAAATACTAGCAATCTGAGTAGGACAAGCTATACGACGAATAAAGGTTTTACCTTTTCCATAAATCATTAAATTTAGATTTGACCTTTCTCTCGGACCTCTTTTAATTCGCTGTTTCAGTTTTAGGTTATGAAACCATACTTCATTTATTTGACTTATCATAGATTTCTTGCACAGTGGTTAAGGCTTACATTGTATGATTTTGTAATTAATTGCGTAAATATTTGGTTGGGACCCACGTGACTTCTTGCAGTAGCTGCCGAAGTATAACGTTTGCTGAAATTCTTTTTAGCCTTTTCTTGAAATTCAGATCTCACCAAAATTTTTGAAATGAAACAGTTTTCCACTTAATAAAGTGTATTACTATTAATGAAATGGATAAGAACTTGTGGATGATGCGCGATATGGTTTATTTTTCATGGTTTAATCCAGAAATTTGATGTTTCTTATTGCAGATGAGCCACCGCCAGATCATCCACCTCCACCGCTGCCAAATTCATCAGCTTTCCACAGTGCAGGTTCAGAGACAGCAATCCGTTTCAGCGATGATTTTTCGCAGTGCGAGCTACCTACTATAGCCGAAAATTTCTCGTCTTTGAGCAAGGTAACTTTAGTCTACAAGTTATATCAAGTATGAAATAAGTAAAGTTAATTTAAAAAGTTAACAGTGACGCCTGACTGATCCATTATGACTTGGATATAACTTTCATCCTTAACAGTCGAATCCTTGGTGTGAACTTCATTTCAATAATAAAGAAATAATGTTTGAGCTATGATGAATAGAGAATTATTTTGGTTTGTGAGAATTTCATTTTGTGAGGTTTGTGAGAATTTGTGAGAATTTCATATTATTTTGCAGAAAACCGTAGCGATACGGTCAGCACCAGTAGAATCCGAAATTGACATTTTCGGTCAGCCAGTGTTCAGCGCGTTGCTCTCAAACTCTCAGACAAACCAGAAGCAAGATAGTCAGTGTTTAAGAAATTTTGATTAAATTTGACGCATAAAAAATTTTGGTCATTATTTAAGCTATAGTGTTTTTTTTCGAGTCATTATTTATTATTGGTATAACTGATATTCATATAAATTGGCATGAAAGGTTTATACCAGCTACTTCACTTCGTATTTACATATAGACATAGATGAGGCAATTATATAGACGTGAAGATTCATTTTCACTTAATTTCGTAATTATGTTTTCGAGTCTCGATCCATGAAAGTCGTAAATTTCGTTTAAATTACTTCTGTTGTAGTAGAAACTTGAAAGTTTCGACTCGTAGATGATATATTTGAACTGAAAAGTCAATAACTTCCATTTCACAACCAGTCAGTTCAAGCTAATTTGAGGGATAGACTTTTGTTATGCATAACCAATAGCATAATTTATAGTCTATTTGCTAAAAAAATGTTTTATTGATTGCGGGTGACCTATAATATAATGGTTTTCAGATCAGATGAATGAATGTATAAATAACAGAGAGTCCGAAAAACCGGATGGAATTGATCCATTTGATGTTAGATGGTCTCGTTTAGCCGTAGATGTTGCTACAAGGTATCCAGTGACGGTTCGTTCAACCAATCCATTTTATTCAGAATCAAGCGCGGTGAAAATTTAACAGCGATTGATGTTTTACTTTATTGTTTCATCTTTTTCTTCAAATTTTTAACTGTTATTGTAATCACTGATTTCATTAAAATATCTGTTGTTTCTCTCAATTTTATCTCAATAACGAAAGGAGAAAGAGAAAAAGTGAAGAAGATAAGTATTTAAAAGAAGGGATTACATCTTCCCCTATATGCTCAACATCGAATTTCTTTTGTCTTTCCTGATATTTCGTGTGATTTCAACCGGTACCACCTGGAAAATTTACTGTTACTTGTAATATTGATTTTTCTTCCTTCCGAATTAATCGTGAAAATATATGGATAAAATGAGAACACTTTGCTAGACAGGATTTCTTACCGCTGTTGTGTGAAAGAAATTTCGTTACAAATTGTTTCGATGATGATTTAAAAGAAAAAAGGCGAGAAACGAGCTGACTAGTTGAATATTACAATTGAATTATCAATTATTAGATTTACCATTAGTCATCATTATATCTGCAAATCATTTTCTCTGGCTTTTTATAGTAGGCTCACATTAATTTGTGAAATATGTCTTTGTTTATTCATATATATATATTTTTACTTATTTATTTAATTCATTTATTTATTTATTTAACTCATTTTCTTGTCGTATTTGACTTGTTAAATTTCGTATTTGTGGTAATTATATCGGCTTACACAACTCATAACAACAACTGTAACAAAGTTACAGTTGTTGCATAGTGAGAAAGAGCAATTTAGGTAAGATTTCCTCAGTGTTGTTATGATTCATAGAAATGGAAATTCTTTGAAACTTCATCCTAGAGATGGAATGGTTAAACAGTTTCCTAAACGAATACTATGCAGTAAAGGAATTATTTTCCTTCGCTGCTCATCAAATTCAACCTAATTTGGGTTTTTTATTCTTTGATTACTCATAATTCGGAGAAAGGAAGAAAAAACTAATTTGGTGGAGCATATTTTTCTATTCTTTTATCGAGAAATCAGAATATCCAGGGTACTTTCTCCATGAATTCGTATAGTACCACTCCTATAAGTCCAGCAAATAGGATT